TTATTTAATATCCTGTCCGGTGCAGTATTTTATTATAATTATACTAGCTTCTGCCAGCGACTTTGCCTGTGTTCCCGTTGGGTAGAATTTAGCAAAGTCAAAGTCAAAATCATTTATTTCAATTAGACCAGGAAGGCGATATTAAGGTAAAAAAAAAAGAATTAACCCATAAATCACCAAGCGGTCACCGGTGACCGCTTTCCACTAATATTACATTACATTACAGACCTTTTTTCTAATGTTTAGAGACTACTTTTGTATGACCAAATTTAGGGGGTGGATTTCAACGGGTTAAAAATAAAATGTGACTCTGTCGGTCAGTCCTCTACTGAAGCTATCTGGTCGTTCCTGCTGCTATGCAGATTCCTGCCGCGGGAGGCCTAACGGGGTGCCGGGGTTCCGACTCGAAGAGCCGGAGTAAGAACACGGTGATGTTTAGTTAGTAAGAGTCTGACACTCCCTCTCGCCTAACCCAAGGCGGGAAAAGTCATTGGATGATTTTTCCCCTTCAAAAAAAGTGTAGATTCCTATGGAGAAGAACGAGCAAGAAACTCCATAGGTTACTTTTTTTAATCAGGTTCTCAAAACAATTTTTTGAAAAATTTTTTCGTTGATTCAATTAATCAACTTATATGTATTCTAGAATCTACTCCGTGTTCCAAATTACATCACGATCCCTTCAGCCGTTTTGACGTGATTGAGTAACAAATGTACACACAAAGTCTTATAACATCACGCCTTTTATCCCCGATGGGGTAGGCAGAGGTGCACATTACGGCACTTAATGTCACTGTACAGTGGAACACCTACTTTTCACTATTTATGTTATGAGTACCGTGTAATAGGGGGTGAGCCTATTGCCATATTCCGGGTTATATATTCCACAATTCCAAGTCTTATTTATATTATAAATGGGGAACGGGGACGAAATCATTGATAACTAGTAATGGTATAAGATTCAGTTGACCTTAAGCGACCCTAGCGCCACTAGCCGACGCCAAAAAGATAAAACATCCCAAGTGGGCCATCGTTAATATTTTTGATTTATTTTTATCATTATCTATAACCGTATCTGCTATGTTAAGATTATATAAAGATAACCTAATAATGCAGTTGGTATACGCGATTGTATTTAAAAAACCTAAGAAAGGTGTGTACTCAATTGTAGATACGTTTTTGTTATTGAAATTTTTACTTTCTATGAAATGAAGTAATGTTTTTGACGTGGCTTTACTGCTTTCTTGTCTTTAGTTGTGTTTCGTCGTGTGAGTGAAGTTACCGGAGGCCCAATTACCCTCCCCTTCCCCAATCTCCCCAATTCCTGAATCCCCAACGATCCTCATACTCCTAATCCCCAAAAGGCCGGTAACGCATTTGTAACGCCTCTGATGTACCAGGTGTCCATGGGCGATGGCGATTGCTTACCATCAAGTGATCCGTCTGCTCGTTTACCGACATATGCCATAAAAAAATAAAAAATAAAATAGTCTTCTAATTGAAGATCTAAGTTGGACTAGAACAATTTCAATTTTTTTTTATTAAAATACTCTTTGCGGAATGCTGATCATGAATATGAGCCTCTAGTATGGCATGTTTTTAATGGTACATGGTAAACGAGCAGACGGATCACCTGATGGTATTAAGCAATCGGTGTCGCCCATGGACACCTGGAACATCAGAAGCGTTACAAATGTTACCGGCCTTTTGGAAGTTGGATATTGGGGTATTGTGGGGTAATAGGGCCTCCGGTAACCTCACTTACACGACGAAACACAACGCAAGCGTTGTTCCACGGCGTTGTCCTGCTCTACCGTGAAATATACAAACAAACGTAAAACAAACAAACAAACAACACGGCCAATTTTATTATTAGTTACCGTAAACAATTAGCGTGACCCTTATCACTATAAATACAAAGTACAATATTATGAGTAATTAGTTGTATTAGGAAAATATTGGAATTATAATATCAGTCGTTTGTCGCATACTGAGCGGATGTAACATATATACAGACAGGCCGACTGATTTTTTTTATATTGATTTTGTATTTTTTGCTGTTGTTTGTTTTTATGTATTGGTGGTGCTTCGTCAGTTTGATAATGTATTGGTTTTAGTGTATAAATAAACGTTTAATAGTGTTTTTTGTGGAACTCACCCCCTGTTACATGGGACTCATAATATATATATAGTGAAAAGTGAATGTTATATTGTATAATGTGTATCTGGCTTCCCATTCAATATATTAAACGCCATGGGGGTCATCGGTGACTGACGTTAGCGGAAGATTTACTTTATACAGTTTCTATTGACTGTCAAAACTCTCAGGATTAAAGTGTTTGTTTAATAGTAATTCGTCATAACTCTATATGGTATTCAGTTCCGTTATTAACAAGAATTTTGATAAATCATACGCTAAAAATTCCTAGTGATTCACTATAAGTAAGTTGAAATCGTATCATAATTCATTCAGCAGTTTTGGAGAACACGACCGCGTGGTATACAAACACATTTTTTTTTTATAAAAAGTGCATTATCGTGTGTTATTGAAGGATAGTGCTTAGTGTAGTGTTTATAAAGGCGTGTTTTGCTCAGCAATGGCTCATATAGAGAAAATGTATGGGCATGTCATGACCCACGTGGAGAAAATGGAATATCTATACTATTCACATTATGATCATTTAGTGGGTAAGTAGAGTTTGTAGTTGTATTGATTTTTAACCAGGGTCAAGGTCAAAAGTACTTTTTGAAAGTCAAAACGTTGATCTGAATTTTTAAGTTTGAAATATATTGTATTTTTTTTGTTTATTGCCTTGTTGGTCATGTCACTGTAAGGGCTTTTACTAATAAGGGGGTTCGATTTCCGGGTCGGGTAAAGTACTGTAAGGTTCTGTCGCTATTATTGTATGAGGTCAGTGGCTCAGCCACCCCTAGCTCTATTAAATGGGTTTCATAATATATTATAACATAGGTGAAATACAGACATTATATTTAACTTTAAAGTGTGGGACAACCATGCTTCGGCACGAATGGGCCGGCTCGACCGGAGTGATACCACGGCCTCACAGAAAACCGACGTGATGCAACGCTTGCGTTGTGTTTCGTCGTGTGAGTGAGGTTACCGGAGGCCCAATTACCCTCCCCTTCCCCAATCTCCTCAATTCCTGAATCCCCAACGATCCTCAAACTCCTGATCCCCAAAAGGCCGGTAACGCAATTGTAACACCACTGGTGTTTCAGGTGTCCATGGGCGACATCGATTGCTTAACATCAGGTCATCCGTCTACTCGTTTACCTTATGCCATAAAAAAAACTTATCATAAAACCTGGAATAATGGATCCATTTGTTATGAATCTTACAATATAAATGAGAAAGATTGTGTGTATGTTTGTTACCCAATCACGTCAAAACGGCTGAAGGGATCGGGATGAAATTTGAAACAGGGGTAGATTATGGTCTGGAGAAACACATAGGCTACTTTTTATCCCCGAAGCTGCTGGCTGAAGCCAGTGAGTTGTATTAGGCGTGTCACTTTTATACATATATCCAGTTTATCCCCTGTACCTAACCATAATAATGACACAGAACATCATCACGCCTTTTATCCCCGAAGGGGTAAGCAGAGGTGCACAGAGGGCAGTGCCACTGTACAATGTAACACCCACTTTTCACTATTTATGTTATGAGTCCCATGTAATAGGGGGTGAGCCTATTGCCATATACCGGTCACAATTCCAGACTCCGTGCTACTACTGAGAATTTTTTTTTAATCCCAGTAATACTATGCCCGACCCGGGAATCGAACCCGAGACCCATTGCCCGGCAGTCGCGCTTGCAACCACTCGGCCAACGAGGCAGTCAACCATAATAATGAACCATAATAATGTTTCCTCCTATTTACTTTTCATTGACGTACCCTACATATATATTGACGTCTTTTAAAAACCCCGTTAATGTATTCATTTAAATTAAAATCTAAATATAATATTTTCCTTGTCTTATGAATAGTTATATTAATAGAATAGTTCAGTGGTTTTGTGGTTAGAAAATCTACTTTTGATCATGTGGTATGGGGTTTCCGCATTGAATGTTACACTTAGAGAGCGCCCTAGGCAAGTACCTCATTGGTCATAGGAGTCGCGGAGAACCTAACGGGTTACCGGGGCTCCGGCTCGACGTGCAGGAGAAGGAACGGGGTGGTTTTTAGTCAGTAAGAGTCTGACACTCCTTCCCACCTCACCCAGGCGGGAGCAGTCATTCGATGATTTTCCCCCCTTAAAAAAAAGGCAAGTACCTCATAGGCGTCCCTAATTTCATTTGTCGCCGCTGCCACTCTATGCGCAGTTGTGCACGCGCGTCTCACAGCGCCCCTTTGTAACCTGGCACCCGATACTTACCTAGTTTGCCTTAGGGACAATACGGCCCTGGATGTTGGCTTTCTTCTTCTTTATTTAATAGTAGACTTAGATATACGTGACTGCGGACTACGGGTATTACTTGTTAAATCGTTACCCCACACTAAGATTTTCCCCTGTATCGTGGGTGCGTTTACAAACATACAAGTTCACATACACATAACACCCAGACCCGGAACAACAATCAGTGGATCACACAAAGATTTGCTCCGTGCGAGAATCGAAGGGAAGGGAAACTGGTTGCCCTGCTACTGCGACAACTGTGCAGTCAAATGTTACTGACTGTAATGTCAGGTTACTGCGGCTCCGGCTCTATACACGAGTAGGAAAAGGGTGGTGTTTAGTCAGTAAGAGTCTGACACTCCCTCGCGCCGCACCCAAGGCGGGAGAAGTCATTTGATGATTCTCGCCTCACAAAAAAGAGAGTTCAGTTGCCTGATGTATTAAGCCTTGATGCCCTCTGACAGAGTATAAAATACACTGTGACTACCTCTACTTTTCTCGCGTGTTACATTCTACGTTTGCCATTACTCAACACTGATAAAATCCCTCTTATTTAAATTTATTATTTTCTTCTTCAACAGTAGACCCGACGCCTTTAGAGGCTATAATGCCAGAGCTGATAGCTGGTGAGACCACGACTCGATGGCCGCGCGACCGACGCGTGCTGAGAGCGCTGTTGGAACTCAGCCGGGCTGACTCCGTGCCAACTGAAGCTGAGCGTGAAGATATATTGGTAAGATGGTGGTTTATAAAATGTCGGGAAGGACTGATTGATTGGATTGAAAATACATATTGTTTAGAATAGTTTCCACAATGTCTAAACACGATTAAACGATCGAATTATTGTTCCATTATCATCATCATCAACAGCTTATAAATGCCCCCGGGCTGACCAAAAACCTCTTCTTATACGAAGAAGGTTCAAGCTCAAACCTTCTTCGTCTGAGAAGTGATGTGTATTTTAACTCAAAACACTATCTCTCCTCTATAGCTATCATCAGACCAGCCCCTGGAGAATGAAGAACAGAATGAGACGGGGGAGGAGCAGGAGGACACAGCCCCCGTGGATCCCAACGCTGTCCACGAGCTGGCTGCCAAGGGGGACGACGAGGGACTCGCTGCACTACTCAAGGTAGAACTAAATAGTATTGAGTACATATAAATATTGCTCAAATTGTTAAAATAGGGTAGTTGACGGGGTATGAAAATGAAAAATGTATTTAGACCGTCAGTTAGATAATAAAAAGTAATAGGCAGGTATTTATATAAGAAATTATACTTAGATAAAATAAATTCAAGTTTAGAAGTTGGAGCTACCTATAGATTACTGCTCCATATAAAAATATAGTAAGACGATATGAATAAAAAAGAATAAATATGTAATGTTTTAAATTAATGTACTAGACGGACATTAAAATACAATTCGGAAGCTACCCTATTAAAAACAGGTTTTATTTACTAAAAGTTTCACTTTTTCTAACACACTATTTTGTCCACCAGCGCTACCCTGCCCTAGTAGAGGCGATAGACGCGACCGGGGGCACGGCGTTACACGCGGCGGCCCGCGGCGGCAGGGCGCAGGCTGCCTGGGTGTTACTACGGGCGGGGGCGAAGGCCGACGCCGCTGACGCTGATGGATGGAGCCCGCTCAGGGCTGCGGCGTGGGCTGGACACACGGAGGTACGTGCCGGATATTAAGACTCATTCTTGATACTTTACCAAAGAGCACAATTGGTAAATTATGTAGAAACGTTCGGGTTTTCGGGGACGAAGGCTCCTCGAAAATGATGGCACACCCAAACAGTGGGGTGGGCATCCAGTGCCTTTAGCCAAACGCTACTCTAGCGCTTGTCTACCGACAGAGTAGAAATCAAAATGTATGGGGATGACACTGACAAGTGTAAAATTTTACGTAAATCTATGTATGTATGTAAAAATTAATCCCGTTTCCCGTTGTCACGCCATAATATGAGAATGGCTGGACCGATTTGGCTGATTGAATATAACTAAATGTTCGTGTTAGGTCTACTTACAGTTTTATATTTCTATGAAGTATGTCATTTACCCGTTTTGTTTGGTTCCAGGTGGTGGAAGTGTTACTAGAGTTCGGTTGTGACGTGGATTGTGTGGATGCTGACAACAGAACTGCATTGAGGTATATAACATTTGCTAACTGATATATGTAGTATATAGTTCAGTTTTACGACTAGCTAAAGCGACTGTATTCATCTTCTTATTAAACGTTTATTTAGTAAAAGCCGTCAAGAATATCATTTTACATATCATCGCTTCTAATATCTATCTCTCTAGTCCACGTGATCTCCAACTCACCTGCCAAGAGATTATGGCACAACTCTTATAGTTGGCTCATAGTACAGCAATGGACCGTTACGGGATGTTGATGCACCTTCTTTCTACAGAGCGGCAGCCTGGTCAGGTCACGAGGCAGTGGTCTCCAAGCTCCTGGCAGCTGGAGCAGACCCGGATAAAGCAGACGCCGAGGGTCGAACCCCACTCATCGCGGCTGCCTACATGGGCCATGCGGACATAGTGAGAGCTTTACTGGATGCCGGCGCGCAAATCGATCATGCTGATGATGATGGTGAGTCTGCAAAGATTATATCTCCAACCTCCATATTCCTGAAGCCCCCAATCCCCCAATCCCCCGATCCCCCAACCCCCCAATCCTCTAAATTGTGTCTAATATTTAAAACTAATCTACGTATCGTACAATTCGCGGTAGGTCGTACAGCCCTGTCGGTGGCGTCCCTGTGCGCGGGTGGGTGCGCGTGCGCAGCGCTCCTGCTGGAGCGGGGCGCCGACGTGGCGCGCGCCGACCGGGACAAGGCCACTCCTCTACTCGTCGCCGCCTTCGAGGGACATACGTAAGCTTTGTTTATAATTACTGTTCAAAAGGTTTTAAGTTGATATTCACCGGTTATTTAACATATTTATTAATATGGTGGTACGTGGTATTTTAATAGCTAGAGATAGGTGAAGTGATGGAGATTGGTATAGGGAATTTTTATTGTCTCTTGTAACTTCCCATTTTTAAAAAAATAGGGTGTGGAAGTTTGTATATAGCATTTTGCACTTTTAATTTTTTTATTTATTACGAACTAGCGACCCGCCCTGGCTTCGCACGGGTGCAATATGCATGTATTATACATACAAACCTTCCTTAAGAATCACTCTATCTATTAAAAAAAAATCGCATCAAAATCCGTTGCGTAGTTTTAAAGATCTAAGCATACATACGGACATACAGCGAAAGCGACTTTGTTTTATACTATGTATTGATGGAGCTGCGGGCAAATGGTAGTTTTTTTTAATCCGGATAAGCCGCATATACTAGCAGACGACTCACTGATGGTAAGCAATGCGCTCCGCCCATGGATACCTGAAACATCTGAAGCGTTACAGGTGCGTTACCGGTTACAAGAAATTTAAAGTCGTGGCCGTCTATTAAATTCAACGACGTTTCCGTAAAACGAAAGGAGTCGGTTTGCTATCTCGGTTTAGTTTTGGAAAAAACTTTTCTTTCATTGAACATATTAAGGCTATTAGTGAGAAAGCCAAAAATAACTTGTATGCGCTGACGCGAATTTCAAAAGCCGCCTGGGGCCTCTCTTTTCTTACGCTTAGGATCATATACGGAGCAACCTACCTGGGATGCGTGTGCTACGGGGGCCTGTCTGGGATGATAGGGCCACAATAGGCGCGGTACGACGAAAACTTCTACAAGGCCAGCGTCTAGCCTTGATTTTCCTGTGTAAGGCTTATAGGACGGTTAGCACTGAGGCCCTACCTGTGCTCGCGGGCGTACTTCCGGTAGATCTTGAGGTGCAGCGACGTGCTGCTATGTACTATAGTGCAAGACCTAATTTGTCAGCAAGCTTTCTAGCACAACGTGATACACATAAAATTGCTAGATTGTTTAAGCAATTAACGGACGTTTGGGATGAGCTTATGACTGAATGGGAGTGTAGATGGGAATCTTCTATTAAGGGCCGCCACCTATATCAGTTCTTCCCATCCGTGCATGAGCGGCTGGAGAGGACATGGTTGGAGGTGGATCACTATGTTTTCCAATTTCTTACTGGCCACGGCAACTTTAACATCAGAAGTGTTAAGTGCGTTACCGGCGTTTTAAGGATTAGGAAAATGACGGTTGTTGGGGATTCAGTTTGAGAGTATTTGTTTGCTGGAAGTGTGGGAGTAATGGGCCGTGTGTGCAGCGAGATCTGCGAGTTGCTGCTGGAGGCGGAGGCGGACGTGGAGGCGGCGGACGGCGCGGGGCGCACGGCGCTGTGGGCGGCGGCGGCGGCGGGCCACGCGCGCGCGCTGCGCCTGCTGCTGTTCTGGGGCGCCTGCGTCGACAACATGGACGCCGACGGACGCACCGTGCTCAGCGTCGCCGCCGCGCAGGGTAACCGACATATTATATACTTTACACTTTATTTCCTCCATTATTTTTAGTGCCTCATAAGTTAAACACATTTCTTTCCTTTCCTTATATTATGAATACATAACTCCTCAACTAAACTTTACTTAAATAAAAATATACGACTGAGCCACAAAACTATGAATGAAATGAAATTTATTTTATTTGCTCTCATTGGCCTCGTTGACCAAGTGGTCGCGAGTGCGACTGCAAGGCAAAGGGTCGAGCAAAATCGAGCAATTACTATAATGTAGTATTAGGTACTAGGTTTTTAAACATTCTCAGTAGTAGCAGCAGAGTTTAGAGATAAAAGGCATGATCTTTATGTGTATGTAGAATAACTGAATATTTGACAATTCTTCCATACTAAAAACTGTCATATGTCAATTTTATTCTACAATTAGGAATTAATTATAACAATGCATATTTATGTTTCTGTGTTTAATAAAGTATAAAATAATAATAACTAATGCTTGAAAAATCGACCCTAATTGTAATTTCACCCCCTTCCTGACGCTAAATCGGTCTGATATTTAGTACACACTCTTAATCTTGATGACAATACAATATTATCTATTTTTTCTCACCACGACCTTTATTATGGATATTATTGATTTAATAAAATATAACACTGGCTGCTTTACAGTTTTTAGTTTTGAATAATTCTGCCAGGTGACTCTATATGTTTTTGTTTCGTTGCGTTGTTGTTCTTACCTTTCATAGAATTATGTGCAAGTAAATAAAAGTAAATAATTATTTACAAGAATACAATCTTTTATTAGAATTCCTAGCCCCTAACTCAATAGATATCAATTGTAAAAGGCTTGATTGGTAGAATAGAATCATTGAAACAGTTTAATATAAAAAAAATATTTGCAGGCAACGTGGAGGTGGTCCGTCAGTTACTGGACCGAGGGTTGGATGAGCATCACAGGGACAACTCGGGATGGACTCCGCTACACTATGCCGCTTTTGAAGGTTCGTCTTTAAGTTAATGTTATACTGCAGCTTCGCCAGCGTTCCCGTGGGATATAAAGTACCCTGTGTTATTCCACATCATAATCTATCCCTGTTCCAAATTCCATCCCGATCCGTTCAGCAGTTTTGACGTAATTGACTAACTTGATTGATTGATTAAATATGACTTTGTGTGTTTGTGTACACAAAGCACCGCTAATTAGTTCGTAACGCTCACATCGACACTACTGTCATTTACACAATGTACATGTGTGGGTAATTTCATATTACTGTGTATAAAAATATTCGTCCACCACGTTCACATTGGTATTTTCATTCTTGTGTCGGTATACGTATTTTTATAATTTAATGCATGGGTAAGGTTAAAACTATTTACAATCATTGATATGACCCGACATTTTCACTGTAATTATCGTAGTGCTCGTGGTCGATTGGTTAATGAGTACGCTTTTATCGTCTTTCAAGGATCAATGATGATGTGGGTTCTATTCCAGCTAAAAGTTTTTTTTTATTTTACCTTGTTGTTTTTCTTATTTATTTTTTTTTTGTTTTTTGTCATATAATATAAATACAGGCTATAAAAGAAGCAAATCAGTCGGTAAATAAAACAATACTATTTTTTATTAAAATTAATTTATTAATTATACAAATATGTGGTTTTATATTCAATATTTATATCTAATAATTAATTATATACCACATGTTAACTTTAAAGTTCTTCCAATCATTCTAAATTATTCTAAATAATAAATAACTAGAACTAAAATATAAATAAAGGATATTATAGGTATAAATAAATCTAAAGTATTTACTATTAAAATTAACATAAGATTTAGAAAAATAGGATAGGAAAAAAAGAAAAGATTTAATTGTTTCTAATTTCACATTTCAAATATTTGATTAATTAATACTAAAACAACATGTGAATGCTGGAATCGATCCGGTGGCACTTTACTTGACCACTGGAGGCGATAACCATTGCGCCAAGCGCGCCGTAGATGAGAACATCGAAATATTGTATATCATTCAGTAACATAAAAATACAATGAGAATGCACTATATTTATATAAGTATTGTATTGCTCGATCGTTCATTATTTTTGATTTCGATTTATTCAAAGTTTGTTATGAGTATTTTTATCTTTACCCTCGTTTTTATTTAAACTTATTTACTAAAATATTACGTATACCGACACAAAAATGATATGTAATACCAAGATGTGTGTGATAGAACGAATGTTTCTATACATATTTATTAATATGAAATTACCCACACATGTTCACTGTGTAAATGATAGTAATGTCGATGTGTAGCGCCTCGAACTAATTAGCGGTGCTTTGTGTACGTATCCACAAACACACAAAGTCACATTAATGTATAATATTAATATGTTCAACAGCTGATCGGTCGCCATTTAAAATCTTTGGATTATTAAATTCCATTTTTTACAGAAACAGCATAAAGGTTATATTGAAAATCGATCTTAACTAATCGATAATGAAATAAGACTAATTTTTATAACCAAATTCACATAGAAGAAAGGCGTATGTATGTTTATGAAAAAATGCTCTTGAAAGTAAATCCTCAACGTCTGTACGCTATCTCCTCACCTTCAGGTCACATAGAAGTTTGCGAAGCTCTACTAGAAGCCGGTGCGAAGGTGGATGAAGCGGACAACGATGGCAAGGGTCCACTGATGTTGGCGGCCCAGGAAGGCCACACCAGACTGGTGGAACTGCTGGTGGACTCCTGGGACGCCAGGGTGGAGCAGAGGGCGCATGATGGGAAGACTGCATTCAGGTATGTTCATGTCAATGATATAGGAATTTCCTCTTAAATCCAGTAGGGTAGATGACTAATTTTTATTTTTTGTCCGTTTGGTAGATTATTTAAAAACATTAGACACGTATTTTTATTTTTTTACGGAAACGAATAGTTTCGAAGATATATTGATTAGAAATATCGCGTGACGTCACTTCTACGTACATTTTATACGTAGAAATGACGTTTTAGCCCTCACTCCTAAACTTTGATTCGTTATATCCAAGTATTGTTTTCTTATACGACAAAATAAAAATATACGTGTCTAATATTTTTTCATTACCTAACTGACGGACTAATTACATTCTTAATTTTCATACCCTGTCATCATCCCTACTTGGATCGATCGGTATTGTGAAATTTCGTACTGTTGAGTTGCAACACTAGCGTCCATTGCATCCGTATTGCGTGGATATTGAATGAACTAAATGGTATTGAATTCGGCTTTATTATTCCGTACTCTGAATGCTATTTTATGAGTTGCGATTGGGGTTGTATAGTATTGACATTGAATACTTATCAATAAGTATTATATATAGTATAGTATTATCAATATATATTTTATTGGATTGGAATGAAATTGATATTGAGTTCGGTTTCAAGAGCATGCACCCTGATTTCTTTTGTCCTCTTTATTATTTCTTATGTATGTATATACATACAATATATAGGACAACACACACATATCTAAAATTGAAATGAAAATATACCATCTATTCCTATTGTAATTTCTTCCTATATTTATTTTAACTAAAAATACGTAAATAAAATATGTTTATTCAGTATAAGACATGCACGCCAGGAACAGAAAAAAAATACATTATAACACACAACAATGAAAAGGTTTAAAAAAAATAATAACATGGTAATAATAACAGGTATTACGCGGTGTTAGCGCACATGCCCATATTAATAACGGTTTACTTTCGTCAATATACTCTAGTGGGCTGTGAGATATCGCCGCGACCGCGCACACTGTTCATAAGGAAAGGTCCCTCTGTGACTCGAAACTAGTAGAACGTTTCTCAGTGCATTTATGAGAACAAATTGAGTTATTTATTCCCCCCCCCCAGACTGGCGGCGCTGGAGGGCCACGCGGCGACAGTGGAGGCGCTGTACGTGCGCGGCGCGGACGTCGACGCGCTGGACGCCGACCGACGCAGCACGCTCTACGTACTGGCGCTAGACAACAGGCTCGCCATGGCCACGCAACTCATCGCCAACTGTGGCGCCCACGTCGACACCACCGACAACGAGGTACGTGTGGGAGCCATGGCCACGCAACTCATCGCCAACTGTGGCGCCCACGTCGACACCACCGACAACGAGGTACGGTTGGGCCACTGGCAGCGACACCAGCCACCACCAGGAGACCATACTAAAACAACCACAGCGCTGTGTTTCGTCGTGTAAGCAAAGTTACCGGAGGCCGATCGCTGGGATGCAATCTTGCATATATTAACTTTTACTACTTTGAACTGGCCGTAATGTGTGTGTAATCTTGTATATATGTAAACGCACCCACGACACAGGAAAAAAATCTTAGTGTAAGGAAACATTAAAAAAAAACGTTCAAGGTTGTATTTATTTGGTGTGTAAGTTCATTTATTTTTAAAGATTGAATTATTTTCATAGAATACGACATTTGACAATTAGTCAAATCAATATTTTTTTTCGAACTGTCAAAAACGACAGTTTTCTATGAATTTTGTACGAGATTGTGTATTTTGACGTCACATTTTTATAGCGTCAAACAGTATACTTATTTCTTAAAAAAATTGCTGGAAAAATACTAAAATTGAGTTAGTCATAAAATCAATGAATGAAAGTGTGATTATTTTTTAATATTTTATTGTATTGATTATTCGAAATATGGTTTTTTTTTTATTAAGGATAATACCCAATTATATCGCTTATATGAGTTAACAATCATTTGGTATGGTTTTTATGCATGTAACATTACACATTACAGTATTCAGAATGTTATTACTGTCGTGTACAGGGCCGCACCCCGCTCCACGTGTCTGCGTGGCAAGGTCACACGGACATGGTGAACCTGCTCATTAAAGTCGGTGAGTTGAATTTTAAGATTTAAAATATTTTTACTATCTTTTTTTACCCACGACTTCGTCCGCGTTGAATATTTCCATTTCTTTTTACTACAATCTGTCGCATTTTTTGGAACTTTCCCAATGGGAGGCCCAATTACCCCTCCTCCCTTTCCCAATTCCTGAATCCCCAACAATCGTTAAATTCCTAATTCCAAAAGGCCGGTAACGCACTTGTAACGCCTCTGGTGTTCCAGGTGTCCATGGGCGACGCCGATTGCTTACATCAGGTGATCCGTCTGCTCGTTTACCGGCTTATGCCATAAAGAAAAAAACATTTAGTAGTATAACCGTTATTGTAGTTAGCGCCTTTGGTATGTGTCCTGTGTCACATCGTCTTGATAGAAACAGTTTATTTATTTTGGTTGGATCACATTTTCTGGTATTTTACGCTTTACCCGACGCCCTGCCGTGTGGTCGTCCACTAGTGACTACGTCTACAAAAAGTTTAAATAAATGTTTACAGGTAAAATTGGAGTGTCTGTTTTGTAATATTGAACCTTTCACTTAAATGATTTAAGTGAAAAGTTCAATATTTAAGGATTTAAGTTAAATCCTATGTAATAGAGGCGAGCCTATTACTATATACCGGGCACAATAACGTAGTTATTGTATCAAAATTAAAAATCTAATTAGTTCGTCGCGACGTACTAATTAGATTTTTAATTTGCGACATACCAACGCGTCGGTTAGATAATGAAAAAATATTAGACACGTATTTTTTTTATTTTCTCGTATTAAGTTAGATAAAATGGCGCTAAGTTTAGGAGTGGGAGGTCGTTACGTCATAACGTGCTACAAAATGCTGTGACGTCACACGATATTTCAAATTAATGAAAGAAAAGAAAAAATACGTGGCTAAAGTTTTAAATTAATCTACCAGACGGACATTAAAATAAAATTTATGAAACTACCCTATTCCAGACTCTGTACTACTACTGCGATTTTTTTTTAAAACTCAGCAATGTTTTGCCTGACCCGGGAATCGAACCCAAGACGCCTTGCCCGGCAGTCACACTTGCGACCATTTGGCCAATGAGACAGTTAACTACTTTTTACTACATAATATTAAACATATTAACCATAAGATACCTATAGTTCAGTAATTTGGTAGTTCTACCTGGAATGTTTGCCGAGAGATTTGAAAATTGTCAATTTTGTAGATTTTGATGTGCTCCTTTCGATTCCTATTTTGCACCTTTGTACGTGACGTGCGCCGCTCGCGCCGCCATCTTGGAAAATGACTGACCAAATTTTTATGGAACGTGATGCCTTTTTATTTTTTTGCGGCAGTTGATCAGATGTGGAAAAACTGATGCAGAATAACATTACAACCAAAAACATATATGGGGTCTTATATCAAAAACTCAGTCCTAACCGAGTTGAATCAGTTCAAAGATATGAAAATATATTATTGCTGTTATTTTGTTGATGGTCAGAAATATTTTGTTATAAATATTTTAGCTTATTGTGAACTTTTCACTTAATATTTGTATTATTATTTTTTTTTGTTTTAAAGCCACGGAATCAGAACATAGTGTATATAACAAATGAACCATTAACCGGCCACTATTATTAGTAACAAAAACATATTGCTTAAGCCTTTGACTGCCGACAGAAAACTGCTGAAGGCAAATCCTCCGCTAACGTAGGTCACCGGTGACCTACGCGGCGCGGCGGTTAACGTGTTAAACTGTCAAACACCAAGCGGTCACCGGTGACCGCAGCCTATTGTTCTATAATTGTGTCTACAAAACCGGTACTCGACGAGTTAATTGGCAAGCGTCTTCACTTGTATGTACGTCACAAATTAATGTACTTTGCGGTGCTTTGGCGCCAAAACTACTTATATTACAAATAAGCTGTCTAGACATAAACTGTAGAAAACTATGAGTAGTTTAATTTTGTAGTTAACAGTTTTCTCGTAAAATGCACAGGAAAAGAGATATTGTAGAAAAACTGCTTTTGGCCGCCATTTTTCCAAGATGGCGACGCAAACAGTGCACTTACAAAGGCGCAAAATGGAAATCGAAAAGAGCACATCAAAATCTACAAAATTCTCATTTTCAAAACTCCCGGAAAACTTTCCAGATGACCTTCATATTACCTACTTAATTTTCGCACTAATATAAGTACCAAAATAATCCTTTTTAAAAATGATTGTCTATCGTTTGTATTGGCTAATCTCTGAAATGGTTGGACCGATTTTGACGGGACTTTTATTAGCAGGTAGCTAATGTTCTAAGGAGTAACATAGGAACTTTTATTTTAGGAAAACGCAGACTAAGTTGCGGGTTTCTGGTAGCAAATAAATGAAGTAAATATGTCTGTCCCTAGGAGGTGCGTGTGTAGACGGCCGAGACCGTTGCCTGCGAACTGCACTCCACGCCGCGGCGTGGCGCGGCCGCACCGCCGTACTGCGCGCTCTACTGCAGCACGGCGCCTCGCCCGCCGCCGTCTGTACGCAGGGGGCCACGCCACTCGGTGAGTGAATACATACATACATACATATATACATACATACACGCCGGCGTGGCGCGGCCGCACCGCCGTACTGCGCGCTCTACTGCAGCACGGCGCCTCGCCCGCCGCCGTCTGTACGCAGGGGGCCACGCCACTCGGTGAGTGAATACATACATACATACATACATACATACACGCCGGCGTGGCGCGGCCGCACCGCCGTACTGCGCGCTCTACTGCAGCACGGCGCCTCGCCCGCCGCCGTCTGTACGCAGGGGGCCACGCCACTCGGTGAGTGAATACATACATACATACATACATACATACACGCCGGCGTGGCGCGGCCGCACCGCCGTACTGCGCGCTCTACTGCAGCACGGCGCCTCGCCCGCCGCCGTCTGTACGCAGGGGGCCACGCCACTCGGTGAGTGAATACATACATACATACATACATACATACACGCCGGCGTGGCGCGGCCGCACCGCCGTACTGCGCGCTCTACTGCAGCACGGCGCCTCGCCCGCCGCCGTCTGTACGCAGGGGGCCACGCCACTCGGTGAGTGAATACATACATACATACACGCCGGCGTGGCGCGGCCGCACCGCCGTACTGCGCGCTCTACTGCAGCACGGCGCCTCGCCCGCCGCCGTCTGTACGCAGGGGGCCACGCCACTCGGTGAGTGAATACATACATACATACATACATACATACACGCCGGCGTGGCGCGGCCGCACCGCCGTACTGCGCGCTCTACTGCAGCACGGCGCCTCGCCCGCCGCCGTCTGTACGCAGGGGGCCACGCCACTCGGTGAGTGAATACATACATACATACACGCCGGCGTGGCGCGGCCGCACCGCCGTACTGCGCGCTCTACTGCAGCACGGCGCCTCGCCCGCCGCCGTCTGTACGCAGGGGCCCACGCCACTCGGTGAGTGAATACATACATAAATACACGCCGGCGTGGCGCGGCCGCACCGCCGTACTGCGTATTCCAAGTGCGGAAGGGCCATGCTTTGACACTAATGGGCCGACCCGACCGGAGTGATACCACGGCCGACCGGAAAACCGACGACAGAAGCTTACGATAATGTTTCGTCGTGTGAATGAGGTTATCGGAGGTCAAATTACTTCCCTCTCCCTCCCCAGTCTATCCAAACCCATGAATCCCCGACAATCCTCAAATTCCCAAAAGGCCGGTAATGCACTTGTAACGCCTCCAGTGTTACAAGTGTCTATAGGCGACGCGCATTACCTGCCATCAAGTGATCCGTCTGCTCGTTTACCGGCTTATACCATAAACTATTGTGCAGTCAGTACAGGTAAGTGTGGGAGAGCCCACACGAATGGGCTCACTCGACCTGAGTGATACCACGACAGAGCAGAAAGCCATAGTTAAACAACCACAACTCGCGTGTTTTGAGTGTCCATGGGCGGCGTCAATTGCTTACCATCAGGTGATCTGTCTGCTCGTTTACCGGCTTATTCAATAAAAAAGAAATTGGAACTTTTGAAACGCCTAAATTGAATTGTCTATCAGTGAGGCTAGATGCTCCGTCTAAAATTTAGTTTCGAATGGAGAAAAACGAATAATAGGACAATGATTAACAGTATATTCTTGTTCCAGGTATCGCGGCTCAGGAAGGTCACGAAGAATGCGTCCTATGGTTACTGCAGCATGGAGCTGATCCCATGCAAGCTGATCATTGCGGTGAGATATAATTATTACATTTGATATTGTGATCGTTTTGTTATCAGTGTTTATTTATTTTCGACCTTATTACTATGGGAATAGATCGCTATGCAAAAAAATCCTTTTTGAAGTTGCTCGATGAAACAGTTATATGAAACTGACCCGACTGACCGTCACGTAGCTGCAAGTACCTTTAACTTTATCGTGTATGTGCAATAGATAACTCGGTTATACCTGTCAGCCATTACCATCATGCAAACCCTAATTTGAATGGCGTATAAAAGAGTCTTGGTATCGGTCCCCAGGTATGTCAAGATTATGTGATGTAGAAGCTAAAGATACTAATTGGTAAAATTATGAGAAAGCATAAGTGTGGGAGAGCCATACTTCGGCACGAATGGGCCGGCTCGACCGGAGTGATACCACGGCCTCACAGAAAACCGACGTGAAGCAACGCTTGCGTTGTGTTTCGTCGTGTGAGTGAGGTTTCCGGAGGCACAATTAACCTCCCCTTCCCCAATATCCCTAATTCCTGAATCCCCAACGATCCTCAAACTCCTAATCCCCAAAAGGCCGGTAACGCACTTGTAACGCCTCTGGTGTTCCAGGTGTCCATGGGCGACACCGATTTTTTACCATCAGGTGATGGGTCTGCTCATCTGCACTGGCTTATGACATAAAAAAAGTTTCTCAAATACCTCTTTTAACAACTTTCAAGTATATTAAAAAACTAATAAAGAAGAGAATAATAGAACCCTTTTACAGCAGTTTTTAGGTATATATAATCTGCATATTAAAAAAATTACGAAAATAACTCCTCATGACACGTATCACCATCCCCCCAGGTCGTACCCCCGCGAAGGTAGCGTGGCGAGCAGGACACGCCAACATCTGCCGCCTGCTAGAGCGCTGGCCGGCACCTGCAGCTTCTGCAGCTTCAGGAGGTTCCGCAGCTTCTGCAGCTCCCTCAGCACCTGCTCATCACGATCTACCATCTGCAAGGCCGCCTAGTGCTGGTAAGTAGATGTAGTCTTTAAAAATAATTGTGACACTAATAAAATTATGTTTTTATGATTTCAAAGTTTGCTCGACTATTTTCGAACCACACGGTGATGTGGTTAAGAGCTCCGATGTAATTTAAAACTAATCGAGAGTATCCAAAACTATTTTCGTTAATGAACTATCATTAACGGAACCTATACTAATAATCATATTATTAGTATGTAGTGTAATTGTATGAACTGAAAGGCTCCTGAACATAACATCACGCCATTTATCCCCGAAAGTATGGGCAGAGGTGCACATTACGACACAACATGTAATGTTATGTTGAGTCCCATGTAATAGGGGGTGAGCCTATTGCCATATACCGGGCACAATTGCTGACTCCGTGCTAATATTGAGAATTTTTAAAAACCTCAGTAATACTTTGCCCCATCCGGGAATCTAACCCGTCTTGCCCGGCAGTCGCACTTGCGTGCAATGATGTAATCTATATAATTAACAGGGTCCCCAGAATACAAGCGTCGTAGCGTGCACAGTTCTAATTCTACGAAGTCGTCGTCCAACATGACGGCCGGCTCGGCTCGCTCGCACTCTCACCACGACCAGGCAGAGACTGGCAATACTGAGAAGGTATGTCTATATATATTATTTTTTCAAAATATCCTAAAATAACATTTTTAAATATTACTTATAAAAAAATAACCATTTTAAAACATAAGTTAAAAAACCGAATTAACCCCCCTTGTTTTAAAATCGATTAATTAATATATTGAAATACTTGGTGTGTATGCGCAGGGTAACCGCGCGAACCTGTCCCTGTCGTTCGCCCAGCAAGTGGCGCGGTGTGGCCGCGGACGCAGGGACCATGCTCAACACCACGACATACCGGAACATCACGTCGTCGAGAAGGACTCTAAACTCAGGTATGTAGTTTTAGTGTCTTTTTTTTAAGGGGGGAAAATCATCTAATGCCTGCTCCCGCCTGAGTGAGGTGGGAGGGAGTGTCAGACTCTTACTGACTAAAAACCACCCCGTTCCTTCTCCTGCGCTTCGAGCCGAAGCCGTGGTAACCCGTTAGGTTCTCCGCGACAAGTTTTAGTGTCTAGGTCATAACTATTCCGATACAGAGCCGTGGAAGATTTAACGGGTTACCGGGGCTCGGGCTCTATGCAGGAGTAGGAACCGGTATGGTGGTGTTCAGTCAGTAAGAGTACGCCACTCCCACTCGTCTCACCTAAAGCGGGAGGGAGTTGCATGATTACTGATTATCCCTCTAAAAAAGCAACGCAGTAATGCATTGTTTTCTTGCCTTCTTTTTTTTTAGAATAGAATAGAATAGAATAGAATAGAATAGAATAGAATAGAATAGAATAATTTATTTGCATTGAATGTAGGTACATAATATAAGGTGTTACAAAGGTACATCGTTCCTGGTACATTCTACCATATGGCATGCAAATTTTTGTTTTTTTTTTTTAATCTTAAAATCTATGAACATTGTGGACTATAATACCTACTATGTAAGTTATCTATAAAACTATTATAATTATTAATGGATAACATAATCCTAATAATATTTGAAAATTTACAAAATTCACAAAATATAGCTTAAACAACTTACAGCAAATCAGTCTATATGTTATCGAATAAAAAATCTGACACAGAATAGTAACACTTTTGTAATAACAAAGATGCAAGTTGTTTTTTAAAGATTCTCAATGGTTGCTCCTTAATGCTACTCGGAATCTTGTTATAAATGATAGGTGCCATACCTAGGACACTTTTTTTTAATAAAGATGTTTTGTAACCACCGGTACATAGCTTGTCTTTATATTGAGACCTTATAGTTGTATTCCGGTTAGTTGTATCCTTTAAAGTAGGGAATAATTTGATGTTACTTTTGACAAAAATAGAAAGTTCTAATATGTAAATGCAAGGAAAAGTTAATAGTTTACTATTTACAAAGTAAGTTTTGCAGCTGTCTGTAACATTTAGTTTAAACATAGCTCTTAAACAGCGTTTTTGGGCTTTAAAAATATTTTCCCGCTCACAACAATTGCCCCAGAATATAACACCAAATCTCAGATTTGACACTACCAAGCCATGATAAGCGACTAGTATTGCATCAATGTTTACTTTTTTTGAAAGATTGTGCAGTACATATGCCGATGAACCTAGTTTTTTGCAAACAGATTCTGCTTGAGGTTTCCATGTAAGATGGTTATCAATTAGGATGCCTAAAAATTTGGCTGTTTTTGCTTCGTCGATTATTTGACCATTATAATTTATATTTAGGTTTTCAGTTTTTATACGTTGATAAAAATGCATAGCCTTAGTTTTATCTATATTGATTAATAAGTTATTATTATTAAGCCAGTTGATTATTGTTTTTAAAGCATTATTAATATCTATTTCGTACTTCTGTTTGTTAATACAATTAATTATAGCTGTACTGTCATCGGCAAACAATACCATTGGATTAGAAACTTGACGAGGCAGGTCGTTTATATAAAGTAAGAAGAGTAACGGTCCAAGCACGCTTCCCTGGGGTACACCAAATTTTATGTATCTATAGGAAGATAAATATTTTATTTCCTTCTTAGATCTCATACAGACTCTGGAAATTTCGGTCACTTGCTTACGATTGCTTAAATAAGATTCTATTAGATCAAGAGCATTTCCGCGTATGCCATAAGCGTTTAGTTTTGACAAAAGCTTTTTATGATTAACGTAATCAAAGGCTTTTGACATGTCTGTATAAATTGCACATACAGGTGTTTTAGTATCAACGTTTTTCATAACATTATTTAACAAATCATATACAGCCATATTTATGTTTTTGTTCTTTCTAAAGCCTTTCTGTTCGTCGCAAAGAATGTTAAATTTGGTTAGAAATTTGTACAGGGATTCATAAATGACGTTTTCGAATATTTTTGAAATTATTGGAATTAAAGCAATAGGTCTGTAGTTTGCCATATTCTCTTTATCGTTCTTTTTGAAAAGAGGTTTAACCACGACACTTTTTAAACTGTCAGGAAATATTCCAGTACTGATACTGTTATTGATGATGTGACATAGTGGGGCAGCTATGTTCTTGGATACAAATTTTATTACGTTTGTTGAGATACCATCATAGCCGAAACTCCTCTTATTCTTTAAATGCCTAATTATTCTCATTATATCTTGTGGTGCAACTGGAGACATAAATATGGAGTGATTATTACATTCTATCGGTACACTATTATCTGTTGCAATTTTAGGTATTTCTGAGATTTGATCGATAAAGAAGTTATTAAAGGACTCAGCGATTTCCTGAGGGTCGTATATTAATTTATCATTTTTAATTATTTGAGAGATAGATTCACTTTGTGATTTTTTATTATGTATTATTTGCCACGACGTCTTTGACTTGTTTTTTGAATTTTTAAGCATGTAGTTATTTTGTGCCTTTTGAGTTAACTTAATAATATTTTTAAATCTGCGCGCGTACGTTTCAAATTTTATTTTATTTTCATCTGTTGGTTTTAGACGCTTCTGCCAAAGGAGTTGTCGCTGCCTTTTACTACAGATACGAATACCTCGTGATATCCATTTTATTTGTTTATGTGGTTTTATTAATATTGATTTATAAGGGAAACACGAGTTGTACAAAGATTGAAATATATCTAAAAAGTTATTATAAGCTAGGTTGGGATCATCTGTGTTGTATACATTAGAGAAAGATAGAGATTGGAGATAGTTATTAAATTTATTCAGATTTTCCTCGCACATGTCACGCCTTTTTATCCGCCAAGATTTAAGCTGACAAGTTTTATTTACTTTTATCTTTATTAGTTGAGCCGTATGATCTGATAAAGCGAAGTCAAATACTTCGTGGTCACATTTTTGATTTGTATTGTGTGCAAAGTTATCCAGGCAAGTAGCACTACTAAGTCTGGTCGGTTGGGTGATAACAAGTTTTAAGTTAAAACTCAACAAGCAACATTCGAAATCCAATGATATGTTGTTCTTTTTTAATGTGTCTATGTTAAAATCTCCACAAACAATAACTTTTTTATCCTTTCTAGAACATAGTATTCTTAAAATAGATTCAAATTTTTCATAAAATGTATTTAGGTTTGATAATTTTGGTGGCCTGTATACACATAAAATAATTACTTTTAATTTTATTAGTTCTATAGCGCAGCATTCTATAATACCAGCTATTGAGTATTTCGTTACATCCGGGAGTTCCCGATATTCATGACCTTTTTTAACCAGAATGCAAGCACCTTCGCATCGGAACAAGCTATTGACGATGACTAATGATCGGTTGAAAATAATTACCGATCTTAATAAAAAACGTTGGAATAAAATCGATTTTTTCATTATTTTTATTCCAGTTTCTGTCAAAAAATTAAGGATTAAAATATATAGGTTACTAATTTCTATTGTTTAAAGAGACTATGATGATTTAATCTAACCCCCATTTCCAGGAGCTACCTAGCGAACGAGCGCGACCTAGAGCTGGGCGCATGGTCGCAGGCGGCCCCCGCTCCCCCCGGACACATGTCCCCCCTGTACGCGTCCCCCCCTCGTACACCCGTCAGTGATCTATGCAGTCCCACGCAACCTGCGCTACCGCCTAGTTTTGGTACGTATTTTTATTGAGATATACTAAATTAATTGGTATGATGACAGGGTATGAAAATTAAAAATCTAATTAGTCCGTAAGTTAGGTAATGAAACGATATTAGACACGTATTTTTTTATTTTGTCGTATAATAAAACAATACTTACATAAAACGAATCAAAGTTTAGGAGTGAGGGCTAAAACGTCATTTCTACGTATAAAATATACATAGAAGTGACGTCACGCGACGTTTCAAATCAATATACTATCGTCGAAAGTATTCGTTTCTGTAATAAAATAAAAAATACGTGTCTAATGATTTAAAATAATCTACTAGACGGACATAAAAATAAAATTTAGGAAACTACCCTACATTTGATATCAATAATGGAGGTCGTTGTGGAAACAATTAGATAATATTGTATTGTCATCAATATTAAGAGTCGCGGACGTCCTATGGCTGATACGATGATGATGATGAACAAAAATCCCACATTTCTTTGTAATTAATTATTTTATCAGAATATACTCTAAGTCTTTTCTCCCCCTACAGGTTCCCAGCCCCCAAGCCTGACGTCGGTGCAACCAGTTTTGACTGACACCCACTTCAATCGAGATACCCATATGAGGATCATACTCGGACGAGACAGCAAACCGCCGCAGGATAGGAGCGAGAGGTCAGTTAACAAATAGATAAATATTTTTATTATTGCATAATAGACCCCCCCGATTCGAGCGACTTATAATACAACAGGTCCCGTATTCAATGTATTAAATAACATCACGCCTTTTATCCCCGAAGGAGTGGGCAGAAGTTCACATTTCGGCACTTAATGCCACTGTATAACGTAACACCCACTTCACTATTTATGTTATGAGTCCCATGTAATAGAGGGTGAGCCTATTGCCATATACTGGGCAAATTTTCAGACACCGTGCTTCTACTGAGATTTGTTTTAAAAAAACCCCCGTAATACTTTACCCAACCTGGAAATCGAACCCGAGACCCGAGATATTCAATGGAATTTTAACATAACAGCCCCTACTACAAGAGTGTCGTAACGTAACAGCTTCACTGACAGACAGGCAGACGGACAATTCAATTTTGACGTTTTAATTTAAACGTTGACGTTTCAAAAGTGCTTTATTAAGAATTAATTGAAATAAATACTTTGACTTTGACTCCTGTACATGAAACTCGTAACAACAGTTCCCTTATTCAAAGACTTATATAATATGCCCCATATTACACGTTACATGGGACTCCAAACATTAACTGACAAAAATTGTGTGTTATATTGTATAATTCACCTCTGTCTAGTCCTTCAGGGGTTAAATGGCACGATGTTATGTTAAAATTAGTTTTCAATGGCCGAATAACTTAGTACTCGGCTTTTGTAAGGCCGAATATTTGACAAATTAAATTAAAATTGAGTTATTTCCTGCTTACATTTTTGTTTCTTTGTTTTTGTTTTTTATATATTTTAAATGGAAATATGTTAATCTAAGTGGGGATAAGATGTTAGTTTTGAAGTAAATTTAATGCTTTTGTAATGTGTTTGATTATGCTAACAATATGTAATCTGTAATGAGTTGGGCGAATATTCGGCTTTCTGTAAACAAAGTTGAAGACCTATTTTGGCAATAATTTACATTAGTGTGCTCTCTCTATACCTAAACTTGCGAAAAAGGAGTTGATATTGTTTTTAAATTACTGTTTTGAGCCGTTTGGGGTCGAAACACTTGGGCCATGGGGTCCCAGTGCACACTCTGTTCTTAAAGATATCGCCCGTAGGCTAATCGACTCTGAATCAAAATTGTGTAACGAAATATTGATTGGAATATTTGGCGATAACAATACTTTATGCCAAAATATTTAAATTAGATGAAAGGGGTACTTTAGAAGCCTATGAAAATTTATTATTTATACTCAGTAAGTGTAGTAATCAATCAGCCGAAAGCCGAGTATTCGTCCTTAACTTTTACAATTAAGCCGCAACACTACATTAATGTATGTGTAACGTAGCGAGGTGTGGAAAGCGATGGGTCTCGTTGCATACAACAAGCTAGTTGGCAGTATCGGCAGAGCCAGGGGCCGGATATTCAAAAAGAAGTGAGTCTTGCATATGCCGAGTGATTTTTTGAGGTGTGACTGTTCGGCCTACAGGGGTAGGGGGGGGGGTGTTATATGCGGTTGAACAATATTTTATTTTTGATAATGTTTTTAAATTATACCTCTAGACTTCATTTAAAATGTGTAATTAAAGCCAAGTTGTTTATTTTAAGAAATGATTGATGACTGTTGTTGAAGTTAATAAGGTATGTAGGAATCGTAGTAATTGGCGTTCTTTACACTCCGCCTACCTCCATGGGAGACAGGAGTGAAGTTATGTATGTATATATGTATGAACCATTCACTGGGGTGAATATTCATTCGAGTGAACCAACTGATATCACCTCAACAGACAGTTTGGTAAATTGATTACTTTGGCTTTATTTTTATAGCCATATTTTAATTCTCCTTCCTTTATGGCTCATTGGTTTAGGGACTGACATTGTTGATTGACAACTTCATTCCCGGGCGATATTATATAGAATACGTATAGGTAGGTAGTCGAACGGCCACACCTCTACAAGGGCTGGGATTGGCTAATTGGCTGGTGATAGGCATATGCTGTACCTACTGCTTTCATCATCATCATCATCATCATTAACGGAGAATGTTACTGTGACGTAAATCAAGAACGTACCTACGTGTGCCTTTAAGTGTGGGAGAGCCATGCTTCGGCACGAATGGGCCGGCTCGACCGGAGTGATACCACGGCCTCACAGAAAACCGACGTGAAGCAACGCTTGCGTTGTGTTTCGTCGTGTGAGTGAGGTTACCGGAGGCCCAATTACCTTCCCCTTCCCCAATCTCCCCAATCCCTGAATCCCCAACGATCCTCAAACTCCTAATCCCCAAAAAGCCGGTGACGCACTTGTAACGCCTCTGGTATTCTAGGTGTCCATGGGCGACGCCGATTGCTTACCATCAGGTGATCCGTCTGCTCGTTTTCCGGCTTATATATTCCATAAAAAAAAAAAAAACGCATTTATATCTCAAATAGACATAACATGACATAACACCACGCCTTTTATCCCCGAAGGGCTAGGCAGAGGTGCACATTATGTAAAATAAATTGGGATTACGACAGGTCATAAATTGTCATATTAACATATTTATAATGTTCTAACTTTAACCAAAGCTTTGCAGCTGTATACTAAATTGGTTATGGAGCTAGACTAATATGATTTAATATACTATTAAGCTGCGTTTTCACTAGGAAACATGTCGGGGATACATATCGCCCGACATTCAAGTGATCTTCATCAACAGACTATAAATGCCCACTCACACAGCAAAGCCTCTTCTTACACGGAGAAGGTTTGAGCATTAATCACCACGCTTGCTCAATGTGGTATGGCAATTTCAAACTTATAATTAGAAATTATAAGCACAGGTTTTCACGCGTTGTTTCCCTTCACCGTTTGTCAGTTCAGTGGTGTCTAGATATTCTAAGAAAGTACATGTAACTCGGAAAAAGTCACATTGGTACTTGCCGTTGGTAGGTTTCGAGCCCGCATCCTCATACGTGAGAGGCGGGCGTCTTAAACCTTCGGGCCACCATGACATCTTCAAATCAAATCAAATATCTTTATTGCTGAACACAGTACATTTAGATGCATTTCAAGATATTAGATAAATGCGCAGTCCATCATGATTCACTACGTTTCTTCATCTTCACATTCACGTGGTATGTCTGCTAGTGGGACTTTCGACATTCTGCTTCACATTGGCCAGTTGTGATCAGTATGTAGCCCGAGGAGTCAGTATTCTTGATGGACCACACTACTGCCATTTCTAGAACACAAAGCGACACATGTTCATGGACACGCAGTTGCGCGACCAGTGTCCCGCGCGACGTCGGGCGATATCGTGCTCGACACTTGAATTTCATGTCGAGCTCTCTGGCTCTGTAGGCTCTGGCGACTCTGTAGTCGCAGAACAAATGTCCCCCCTAGTAAAAATGCAGCATGAATGGTCATTCCTGCTAACAATCAAAGTTGTTGTAGCTATGAAAGCATTTCTTAAGGCTTAAACATGGATTTAAAAAAAATATTATTTGCCTTTTTGAATAAAAGCATGATTTCTACTTATTGTGTGAATGTTTCTATAATAACTATCGTAAGACATACTAAATTAACGATAAGTCACGGGATTCTCACGTGAATATACTGAGAAAAGCTCTACTAGTTTCGCTATAGTTTGCGCGACATCGCCGCGATCGCGCACGCTGTTTATTTGTAAGGACCCCTCTGTGGTTCGAAACTAGTAGAGCTTTTCTCAGTATTTTCACGTGAGTAACCCACGATTTTTAGTTAATATTGTATGAATGGTTAGTTTTTCAAGATGTCAATTTAAACAATAGTTTTAACTTTAAAAAATAAACATCTAAAGATAATTATTAATATTTTGGCCAAGGTATTTACGAAATTATAGTTTCTAGGCCCAGGTGGCGTATTATGACGTCTTAAAGCCGAGTGGTTCCGATGAGGGAACGAGATCACGCTAGACGACTTGTATAGCTCTGTTTCTTTCCCACAATGGAACCATTATGACTTTAGGACGTCATAATAACCCCGATGGTGGGTGTGAAAACTTTGGAAATCGTGTTATGTAAGCATGTTTGTTCACTTTTGTTTATGTTTAAAGTTGTAATTTGTTTGTTTATAGTAAAAGCAAGAGGAACGGTATAGTCACGAATCCCGCTATGCGGCTGGTCGCCAACGTCAGAAATGGACTCGGTGAGTGCATAACAGAATCATTTTTACCTCGATATCGTACGTTTTTTACAGTTTCTTAAACTAAAGAATATTTGATTACCTTAGAATAAAGATTGTTATTTTTAAATGACAATTATATTAAAACTTTCGTTTGACTAGTAAATAAATAATAAATAAAAAAAATAACTAATTCTATCATTAACTAAAATCGCGGGTTACTTACGAGAATATACTGAGAAAAGCTCTACTAGTTTCGAAACACAGAAGGGTTCTTCTAAGTGAGGTGCGCGACGTTGCCGCGACCGCGCACGCTGCTCATGAGGAAGAATCCCTTTGTGGTTCGAAACTAGTAGAGCTTTTCTCAGTATATTCACGTGAGTAACCCGCGATTTTAGTTAATTTAGTATGTCTCACGATAGTTATTATAAAAACAATTCTATCATTGTTTCAGATAATGCAGCCGCGAACATACGACGAACAGGCGTAGCTCTAGCAGCCAGCGCGAGCTCTGCCAACCCCGCAGTCAAAACAAATGCTTTCCAATGGAGGAAAGAGACACCACTATAAGAAAGAGCGAAACGAACGAACGGTACAAGCTTTTTCCATTCATACAGCAACTGAAAAACACGTTCAGTTCTGATATTGAAATTATTCTCGATTTCCGTTATGGCCCCCGGTCGAGCTCGAAACTAGTCGGGCGTGCTCGAAAATGGTGTTTCGAAAATTGACGTAATCTGTCTTGCGTAGTGTTGCCAGTTGGTTTTTGTTGACGCAAAAGTTTTTTTAGTCTGGCATTTTAAAGATGATTTGTACATTTGCTATTATATTAACGTTTTGTTATTTCGTTTTTTGTAAAAATGGCCTATTTTGGTTTTAATTATGTAAATATAATGTTTAAGGCTCCATTTTATTAGTATTACTATTGATAGGTGTTACAAGTCTAGCTGGCAAGTATGAGATTATGAATTCGATTCCCTAGCCAACTATTAATTATGGTGATAAATCAGTAAGCGCGATTGTCGAGTATGAGGTCCTGAGTTTGATATCTGATCGAGTATTATTATTATTGATGATTTGAATATATAAATCATTATTAATAGTATAGAATCTCAAATTGTGCCATTTGTATTAAATATAATAGGTACTAATGAAAACCACTTCTGACTGTTTATATGTGAAAACTAGCTACTTCCACGCGACTTCTCTCGGCTTTTCGGCTTCTATTGATCATGGCGTGATGTTTTAGAGCCTATAGTCATCCTTGATAAATGCACTATCTAACACAACAAGAATTATTCAAATCGGACCAGCCGTTCCTGAAGTTAGCGCCTCCAAACAAACACACTCAACAGCTTTATACACCGTGAAATCTATTTCGTTTACGTCCCGCGGCAAAACAACTTTCCATAAGGAGTCATCATCATCAACAGACTATAAATACCCACTGCTGTGCATAGCCTCTTCTCACACGGAGAAGGTTTGAGCATTAATCACCACGCTTCCTCAATGCGGGTTGGCGATTACAGACTTATAATTAGAAATTATAAGCCCAGCAGCTGTAGCCAAATGCCACTTAGCGCTTGTCTACATGTAGAATAGAAAACCAAATTATATGAATTTGACGTATATTTTGACACTTGTCAGTGTCATCCCCATACATTTTGATTTCTACTCTCTATGTAGACAAGCGCTAAAGTGGCGTTTGGCTAGAGGCCCAGGTTTCCTCAGGATGTTTTCCTTCACCGTTTTTCAGCGGTGTCTAGATAATCTTAGAAAGTACATATAATTCGGAAAAAGTCGCATTGGTACTTGCCGTTGGTAGGTATCGAACGCGCACCTTCTTGAAAAAATAAAATGTCATTATTTTTAAGTATAAAGAAATCACATGAAACACTAGTCGTAAATTCGCATTGCACGTGCCACCCGACGAGAAATACCTCGACAATTACATGGCGTGATGTTTTGATAATGTACTATGAGTTCGCATGCGCTTTCGAAGTGTTCTTTCTGCAATGGTTCACCAGATATTTTTTGTTTTAAACATTTTATTTCTTTGTAAAACTATCGTGTTACCGAGACAGAACCATGTTACTTCGGGACGAAAACGAAATAGATTTCACGGTGTTTAATAAGTAAAAGATTTATTTAATAGTATTTGAAAGTATTTTATTGATAAAATAGGGCCTTAAACTACCGTGGTTGTACTCAACAAACAAATATATAATATGTATTTAGTCAATATATATAAATGTGACATATATATAATTGGGTACTTGCCTACTAGTCAAATTTAATACTTTTTCGAACTATCAAAAACGATAGTTTTCAATGAGTTTCGTACGAGATTGTGTATTGTGACGTCACGTTTTTAGCGTCAAAAATCATACTTATTTCTTAAAAAATTGCTGGAAAAAATACTAAAATTAAGTTGGTCATAAAATCAATTAATGAAAGTGTGATTGTTTTTTAATATTTTATTGTATTGAATAGTCGAAATAATTTATTTTTGATTAACTCTTTCAGTCACACTTTTAACTGGTTACGAATATATTTTATTCAATTATATACTAAAATGCTTGAAAACCAATGCAAAGTAATTTGAAGCATACTTAAAAAAATGAATTTCTAAGAAAAGGTGGTTACAATGTTACAATGACCACTAAGACTGAAAGAGTTAAGGGAAGTACCCGATTGTATATAATATATAATAGGGTCTACTGTATTTTCCTAACCAGATGGCACTACTGTGAACCTCTCGTTTTTCGTCCAATATAAAATTAGCTAGCGTCACACAATAGGGTAGATGACTAATTTTTATTTTAATATCCGTCTGGTAGATTATTTTAAATAATTAGACACGTATTTTTTATATTCTTACAGAAACGAATACTTTCGACGATATATTGATTTGAAATGTCGCGTGACGTCACTTCTATGTACATTTTATACGTAGAAATGACGTTTTAGCCCCCACTCCTAAGCTTTGATTCGTTTTATCTAAGTATTGTTTTATTATACGACAAAATAAAAAAATACGTGTCTAGTATTTTTTCATTATCTAACAGAGGGACTAATTAGATTTTTAATTTTCATACCCGGTCATCATCCCTATTGGACGTTCAATATTTGACAAATAGACAAGTGCTACATTTGCACCATGTGGTTAGCAAAAACACGGTAGGCCTGCATTGATTGGTAGATATTTGTTTATATTATTATTAAAATTGTAATTCAAAGCAGGTTTTGATAACAGGGTGCTTACTCTTGAAACCAATCTCAATGTCAATGCAATTTCAATCCAATAAAATCACAATAATTATTCAATGTCAAAACTATACAACCCCAATCGTAGCTGTTGAAATAGCATTCAGAGTACGGAATACAAAGCCAAACTCAATACCATTTAGTTCATTCAATATCCACGCAATACGGCTGCAATGGGCGCTAGTGTTACAACTCAAGAGTACGAATTTTCACAATACCAATGTCGATCGATCGGAATTGGATTCAAGAGTAAGCCCCCAGGTAGGCCTAATTTCATCGCAATTTAAATATATATATATTAACCTGTGAACTATCGGAACGCAAATCTATTGTGTCTCATATACCTGCCGGTATATGCCAAGAGGTTAATATTGGAAATTCCAAATAATAGACAATCTGGTTTGACTGCCGATTGAGGTCTTATCTTCGATTTTTGTGTGGGAATTGTGAAATTCTCAGATTAATGAAATTTTCAATATGTGTTAACAAGTGGCTCTTTAGGCTCTTCAGCTACTATAATCGCAGTTTTCATCAACCATCTCTTAACTAAGAGTTACTTAACGTAGTCGAACATCTGAACTAACCCTTACTTGTACTTTTAGGTGTCACTTATAGCTTAACCAAAATGTTGGTAAGAGTCACCTATATGACCTGAAGGGTTCCTTAAAAGTTAAGAAAGGTTGGTGAGAACGAACAGTAATGTATCGTAAAAATAACCTATCTGAGAATAGAATATAAGAATTCACGATCGGCATTCGCTCTTAAAGACAAAATGCTTTACAATACATTCTTTTTTATATTATATTTTTACAAAAAACACAAAAAAATATATCAGTATTATTATATAAAAAAAATGAATTGGGAACATTCGTTATTTTTGCATTTCTCTTTTATATTTGAAGCAGTACAATTTTTTTTGAAGTTGATGTTGCGTTTAGTTTCAATCAACTCTGTATACCCCCTTTAGGGTATGTAAGGTGTTATGTTATGTACTTGAAATATGAATTTGTTACTTATGAGTGTATTTTTTTGATATATAAGCTTCTGCCAGCGGCTTCGCCCGTCAAAGTCAAAGTCAAAGCATTTATTTCAATTATACCATAATTTGGTACTTTCGAAACGAAAGAAATACAAAATAAATAATAGTCTGTCAGTCTGTCCGTCAGTGAAGGTAGGTGAAGCTAGGTGCTCATTCCAAAATGTAGATTTGAATGGAGAAGAACGAGCGAGAATTCGTTACTCTTTTAAAATGTGAATAAAAAGTAGCTCATGTGTTATTCCAGACCGTAATTTATCCCTGTTCCAAATTTCATCCCGATCCCTTCAGCCGTTTTGACGTGACTGAGTAACAAACATACAGACAAACACACAAACTTTCGCAATTATAATATTACTAGCTTTTACCCGCGGCTTCGCTCGCGTCACAAAAGGATAAAAAGTAGCCTATGTGACATATACCAAAACACACAGCGCCATCTATACCAATACTTTTATTTTCCCTCGGGAATATCAATTTTTTCGGGATAAGAAGTACCCTATTATTTAATCCGGACTTCTAACTTTACTTCTGCAAAAATTCAAAGCAATCGGTTCAGTAGTTACGGCGTGAAATCGGAACAAACAAACAAACTCACTTTCCGATTTATAATATTAGTAAGGATATATAGTTAGATATATATCTAACTAACTAGATATATATCTAACTATATATGACTGCATCATTGGCCGAGTGGTCGCAAGTGCGACTGCCGGGCAAGGGGTCTCGGGTTCGATTCCCGAGTTGGGCAAAGTATTACTGGGTTTTTCATAGTAGTAGCATGGAGTCTGGAAGTGTGCCCGGTATATGGCAATAGACTCACCCCCTATTACACGGGACTTATAAATAGTGGAAAGTGGGGTGTTACGTTGTACAGTGGCATTAAGTGCCGTAATGTGCACCTCTGCCTACTCTTGGTTTATGTTATGTTATATATATCAATAGAAAATACACTCAAAAAGTACGCGTGATCTCAAACGAACAAACATTTTTGTATGGAAACATTAAATGTATGAAATTAGTTGTTATAATTATCCGATGTCGCATTTACTCATGTATGTATATTATATACACGACACATATACAGTACATAGATATTTTTGTATATTTACGACGCTAATCTGCGTTTGTGTGGTCATATATATATATATATATTACGTTTCATTCGCTGCTCGGCTCATTTTCATAGTAGTGTGATGTTATACTGGGTTTTTAAAGAAATTCTCAGTAGTAGCACGGAGTCTGGAATTGTGTCCGGTATATGGCAATAGGCTCACCCCCTATTACACGGGACACATATATAAATAGTGAAAAGTGGGTGTTACATTGTACAATGGCATTAAGTGCCGTAATGCGCACCTCTGCCTATCCCTTCGGGAATAAAAGGCGTTATATTATGATTTACTAAATAATTTAAATATTACCATTATAAATATACCCATACTCATATTTAAGATTAAACTAAATTTAAACTAAAATGAGTATCACTACATAGTATAAAACAAAGTCGCTGTCCGCCGACTGTCTGTCCCTATGTATGCTTAGATCTTTAAAACTACGCAACGGATTTTGATGCGGTTTTATTTAATAGATAAATTGATTCTCAAGAAAGGCTTATATGTATAATACATGTGTATTGCACTCGAGCGGGGCGGGTCGCTAGTTGTATATATATTTTTCTTGTTACGACTACACAAATGCTAATTAGATAAAAATAATTCGTTAAGGCAAACGTAAATTGACTTAGAATATGTTTGTATAATCGAGGGAATTCTCTATATGACCGACTCAAATTCTTTTCTAGAATCATGCAAATTAATGAACAAAATATGACCTCTAAAAATCGAACATACCGTTAATTTGGAATATAGGCCAACACCCAAAAGCTTAGCAATGCACTTGTAAAATAGTTTTTTAATTTTATGGAATAGGAGTTCACCTAGCAGACGGATCACTCGATCATAGGTGGTCAGCGCCGTCTATGGAGACCGATATGACTTTCAAACCTTCAAGTAAACAGCGAATTACTTTTTTAACTGCCGGGCAAAGCTCCTGTGACTTCTCTAGTGTTCCAGGTGTCTATGGGCGGCGTTGATTGCTTACCATCAGGTGATTCGTCTGCTC